ACAGAACACACACACACAGCACGCACAAGCACAGTATCCAGTGTTGGAGTGCATCAGGAAGTTCCGGCGGGCAAGCGGTATCCGAGTTGTCCAAGTATTGTCACCAAGCACACCAGCGCCAAGCGCATCCAGATGCCGAGCCAAAGTGCAATGGATCGGCAGCTCCACACTAAATAAAGATTCAAAGCCGAGGACAGTGGGTATCCATCCAGGGCAACGATGGACGCGTCAGTATCCGTGCGCCCGCAGCGCGAACGTCGCAGCCGGTCGAGCGCCGACCGACCGTCCGACGAGCGCGAAGAACAAAACTAAACTGACGCCAGTGTTGCCAGATGGAGAAAAAAAAAGTCAGCAGATTGATCCCCAAAAAGTCAGTAGATTTGCACAAAAATCAGTAGATTCCACGAAATATGTGTTTTGCCATGTTTTGCTATCTCCATTAATACACTCTTCGAAGAAATAGTATAGAGTAACAAATAACATGGTAATAAACACAAATAAAAATGAAAGAAAAAAACAAGACCAGTTCTCGAGTAACTTTATATGAAGGACAAATTAAAATGGCACCATAAATGTTTTTGTTTTAGTCATTATTGACTATTTCGAGGATTATTCTTTAAAATCGAGACTGAGGCACTTTTGGGATCACAGATGAAGGCGACAGTGCGACGTTCACCTGTCGCTATTATTGAAACGCAACCGAAACGAGACGCTCCGGCAAGTGCGCGTGAACATGTCCACTGGAAGTCCTCTGCATGCTGCCATCTTTCCTTACTGGGCTGTGGAAGGTTTTTGAAGCAACGCTGTTGGTCCGGAGCACTGTTTGATTCTACCCGTCGTCTGCTACGGGCTTATTTCTTTTTCGCCTGACCCAAAGTTTGCGTTCAAACGTGGAGAGACTTTGTGTTTGTCCGTCCCTTCTTGTCCCAGTCTCGGGGTTTTTGTCGAAATGAGAAACTTCATTCGTTAGCTTTTTAAGCCACCGAGGAATAGAATTATATCATTTTTTTGCCACAGCCTGCCAAATAAAAGAAAATAACTGAAATTTGGATGTCGAACCCATGCATTCCGCCGAACGAATGAATGAAAATTGCGGCTCTCTCCGCTCAAGTCGGAGCTTTTCTAGTATATAGTATCGGAGCAGCCAAGAGTTCAGGCGCGTGCGCAAACACCTCTCGCTCTGCGCCGTGGGCTGATTGGCTCACTCGGGAGAGGGACGTTACGGCAAGATCATAGACTAGCCAAACTCTCTCCATATATGGCTCTCGCCCGGATGTCACCGTCGAACCGTGGTCGAACCCACTGAGAGATCAGTGGTCGAACCTGCCCACTGAGAGATCAGTGAACCTGCCGAACCTGCTCTGAGTGAATAGATAGATGAATATATGGCTACGTCACTCGAATAGGACGGGCTTCTGCTTCGTATTTAATTCTGGGACATTATGAGTTTCCTTTGATGGGCGACACTGGGAACTGAAGGGGCCATATAATACATTTTTAATATGTTTACTAAAAAAAAGTCAGTAGATTTTCTTATTTTTCAGTGAATCAGTAGACCCGGAACGAAATCAGTAGATCTACTGATAAATCAGTAGACCTGGCAACACTGACTGACGCGGAGACAAAGCCAGGCGCGCGCGCAGAGAACGCCCGCTCGCAGCGCCCGCGTAGCGGGTCAACACCACCTAGATGGAAAGCCGCAGCCACAGTTTATCATATACAGTTTGCCCACTGTAGAATAAGCCTGTGGTAACAGGGAAACATGGTGTTGAGAGTATTTTTGCATGCAGCGCCCCTCACCACATATCGCGAACTAAACCACTTTTTATGCTTCTGTTTTGTTGTTTTGCTTTCCAAGATGGCGGCGCCCATGGTATTTTGGTTTCCGTTCCTCGCGTTCTCGCGTTGCATATTGCTTTATTTAAAGCGCCAGTCACAGGGCACCATTTCCAGGCGATCACATTCAGACAAGAAAGCCTTTTTTCACGTAGGGGACTGTTTATTGGATCGATGCTTTGGTACAATGCAAAACGAAAACAGTCACAAACATAGCACATAATACAGCCATAGAACAAAGTTTGCACGGATGCCGGCCAATTTAAAAACATGAAACAAGGCCGACGACACTTTTTCTTTTTTTTTTGCGGAGTATTGGCATGTTATGACAAAAATATTGAGGATGGCAGCTTTTATGGCAAGTGTGAAACGCGATGATCGGAGACACAGCTTAGTGCAACACATTTTGACAGGTCACGAGGACATCAAGAGGCATGAAAAATAGAGCACATAAAATCAAATATGTACTGCACAAGTAAACAATACAGTAAAAACTCAAAACTGCATGCATACAGCATTATCTACAGCAATTAAGAAATTCTACAGAATTGAAAGCATCTGACTCTTCTCGGTGTCATAAGCTCTGTTGCTTATATAAAGCACAGGCTTTTTAGCACGCTCGGAGCTCTTTTACTGACCAAGAAAATGGCGCATATAAGATTGAGAATTTCGAGCAACATCCCCGTGTGTTTCTTTTTTGTTTTTTTTTTCTAATGTAAACATTTAATTTTTCCCGAACACCGATTGACAAGGAGACGTAGTGCCGTTTTCAATGCAGCAATTCACCGAGGATTTTTTTTTTTTCTAACACGATTTGAACTAGGGTTTCTACCTACCAGAACGAGCACACATGTTTGCACTAGTTGGGTGCCCTTATTTCAAGGGCACTACTTGAGAACGCATTAAAATGAACGGGATCAGTAAATTCTAAATCGAAACTTGCGACGCCGAAGTACGCTCAGCGATTTCTTCAGTTTCGTTTGGGCTGCATCAGTTTCGAGTCTCTCTCTACATGTGCAAAGCAGCGGTTACTTTGTTGTTCATGATTCTGAATAGAAAGACGATTCGGCAGTAGCTTCATTTATAGTTCACCACTATACGAGTCTATAACGGCGAGTTCCTTAGCGATATTTGCCACGGAAACGACGACTTTCAGAATGCGAAGTATAATATATAACACAATGCTATTTCCCTATTGAAAAAGGCCAATATGAACTCGGCTTATTGGAAATATTGTATTCCAATGAAGATGATGGAAACCAATAAAAACTTATTGTTATCCGATTAACCCAATACGCACGATGGGAATTCATATCGGAGCACAATATCTCGATATAGTATGCGGCTATTGGTATACAACAGGATATTGGAGCACAATATCCCGATATAACTTGCGGTTATTGGTATACAACACGATATCGGAGCACAATACCCCGATATACCACACGGTTATTGGAATAGTATACGACATCGCGTGCATATTGGTGACCGACATGGACATACTGTACGGCCACACGATATAGAAATATTGGTCGTCGATCATGGGACCAAAGGAGAATACAATATGTTATCGCGTGCATATATCTCAGAACGCGGGTACCAAGTTACCAACATGCATTACGTTGGCATATCCACACGGCAATACGCGAAAAATATATTGGGCGTGGATACACACATAACATAAACGTTCTGCGTTGCGAACACATTAACATTGATCGACAGTGCAAGTATGTACAGCTGTTAGTCCGGCACACAGTACACACAGCCTCGCGCGCTTGAAACTAGACAACCACCAAACCATTCAGAATAACTAGCCGGAACACCCGCCGCGACCTACCTTTTAATGAGAAAGCCCAATAACGACGTGCTCATTGGAGTGATCGTTTTCCAACAAATGTTTATTGCAGTTGTAATGCAACAAAAGTTGATCGCCAAACGATAAACCCAACGTACCGGCCCAGACAACGCAAGGACATCCTGAGGACATACTAAGGTTGTCGACATGGGGACGTAAAGACCTCCTGAGGACGTTTTTACGGGGTCCTCAAATGATCCCCAGCAGGTCCATTTGTCCGGCCCCACCACGTGGTGAGGATGTCCTGGAAACGTCCACACAGATGACATAAGCACGCCCTGAGGACATCCTAAGGGCGTCCCTATGTGAAAGTAGAGACCTTCCCAGGACGTCTTTACAGGTCCTGAAATGATCCCCGGCAGGTTCATTTGTCCGGCCCCACCACGTCCTGACGGTGTCCTGGAAACATCCACACAGACGACACAAGGACATTCTGAGGACGTCTTAAAGGGCACCCCAGAGATTTCTGAGATGGCCTACTTATGACCGTAACTTGATCTACGTGCTCTACGTGACCCAAAAATCCAACACTTACAGTCATCTGCGGCCTATTTCTTTATTAAAAGTCTGATCAAGGATCGCAAATCTGACCTACAGATGGTGCCACCGAACCCAGCCGAATCTGGTCCGATGACGTACGGCGCTCACGATTGGCTCACGAGCGCCCTTCGTCGTTCGACCAGATTCGGCCGGGCTCGGTGGTGCCGTCTGTAGGTCTGAGGTTCGCGATCCTTGATCACATTTCTAATAGGAAAATAGGCCGCACATGACTGTAACTGTTAGATTTTTGGGGTGCTTAGAGCACATAGGTCGAGTTACGGCCATAAGTAAGTCATCTCAGAAATCTCTGGAGTGACCCTTTAAAAGCGTCTCACAGAAACGTCCGGGACGCTTTTTGTAGTCCTCAAAAGAGCAATTTGTCCGGCCCCAGCGTGTTTCCAGGACGCATATCCCAAGTGTGGCCACCATACCCAGTGTTGTCTTCTGGTGTACTACAGCCAATGCTACAAGCCTATCCGGCATGCAAAGCTTGTCACATGACTGGTTGGCGCAGTGACGTGCCAAGTCACGACACCCTCATGGCGGGTACAGTGCTAACGGGAAACTGCACACAATACACACAGGTTTATGATATCATATCTAAAAAATATATTTGGGGAACTTAGTAGTGCATCCACATTGTCAACAACTTCAACTATGGTTAACATGGAAGGCAGGTTTCAGACATATCTTGCAAATGATGTGGAAGAAAGCGCAGTCCCCCCCCCCCCAAAGGTGCAAGGACTGTCTACTCAATATCAATAAACTCAGTGTTGTTCATAGATATAGTTTATTAATTGCCCAATGTATAACATCTGATACAGCCAGTATCTTTTGTAGTTGAAAAAGAAATTGAGATATGTCTACTTTCCACAGCGTAAGTTACAAACAACCAACGACGCTCAGTATCACTCTGGGCATTACAGGATTAAAAGTTTGACTAGAAGTGTTCCACTGTATGCAACAAATAATCGTATTATTCATCAGGCTGCAGCTTCCGCTGCTTCTTCTTCAGTTTTTCTGCGGCATGCTTCAGCCATGTTTTTATAACCTCCCAAACTTCTGCCTTGTCCGTTTCCAACCGCTTGTTTTTCTTTACGGCTCCTGAAATAAATTTGGAGATTTATTTTAACTGATTATATTGACATGTATATCCATATTAGAAACTCAAATATGTATAATGCCTGAACCTGTTTTAATTAGAGGGTGTCTATATGACCTACAGACAGCACTATAAACACTGGGATGAGGTTGCCATATAACTTGCGAGGGCCGAAAAGGCTCAATGGAAAAAGATAATATGCTAGTACTGAGGGTGACATCAAAAGAAATACGGGAGCACACAGTACATAGCCTCAAACATTACTTCTAGTAATAGTCGCGACCATGTATCACAAAAGTATGGTTTGAGTTTACTTGCCACATGATCCCGTGTTCACTTTCGTATTGCTCACAGTAGTATGTTATACGGCAAAGCTGTTGTAGCATTACAGCGTCGAAATGCATTTTTGCAAAGCCAGAGCTTGCATTGTAAGTATGCTTAAATTAGCACTGAAAAAGTTTCTGAGGTTGTCTGTTCTTGGACATAACTCATTCCTGGAGCTCAAAGCGTCCTTAAGATCCACAATTCACAGTCCTGTGCCACCTATTTACATATTAAAAATGTTATTGAAATTAATTTTTCTGCGATATATCGCAGAGGCTGAACCATTGCCAAAACGACGAAGGGCGCTTGCCAGCCACTCGGGAGCGGTAGTTTCCCGCAAGGAGTGATTCGTATGCGCGCTACTTTTCAGTGTTGGTTCCGTCCACAGTCAGCTGTGCCCTCTTGGACGCCTAATCTCTCACAATCCTTTAGAAACCGCATTCCCCACATGATAAGAATTATGGACGGGATCCTTGGGGGCGAAGGAAAACGTCTTCCGCAAGCATCGCAAGCGAACGCCCCGGGGAGCAGACGAGCTGGCACATCGCACCCTCCGAAGAAGGCGAGGGGAAACCTCGTGTATTTCTATCGTCGCGGGCTTAATAATCTGTTTTGTCACATGAAACTTTGAATACATATTAACTGGCACTTACTATGTTATATGAAAACAAAAACAAGCATCTACAAATACCTCTTTAGTGCCCTTATAGGTTTGAATGGAGTCTGTCATCAAAACTATTAGTGGAATGTCATAACCTTGATTACAACATGAAATGCAGAAATGCCAATGTAGGGCCTGTGGCTTTGTCAAGCTGAACTTGTGACAGCTTTTTACACAAGCCTGCAGTATCCTGTACATTGTACTTTATGCAAATAAATAAACATGCTACTGGTGACTTCTGCAATACTGACAGGACTTCCCACTTAGGGCACAAAGCTGTCAAGTCTGGTTCGCTTGACAGCTAGCTTGCACGAGTGAAGCAAGTATGACAGCCCCTGGCAGCCTAAACGTGAATCCGTGAAAGTTGGTTAGAAAATGCAGCATGAAAATCGCCAATATTGCGTTCACCTTTTATGATGGCAGAGCAGCAAAAGCTACAAGCACGAACTAGCAAATGCACCTTCCATTAAGACCCAATGTTCCTAGATCGATCTACGAAAAAACAGCCCAACACTGTGGTTTCTTATTTATTTATACATTACATACCCAGGGCGACTTTTTGTAGTCTCCACTAAACTAACAGCTTAGGAGTGAACGGATTATATTCTGTGAACAGCTGTTAGAACAAAACTGCATGTCGCTTCTATCTCCATGTTTGGTTAAACGAGCGAATCACATTTTGTGTAGCATGGAATCTCATCCTGTGGCATGCAAGTTAGCATAGTATATTGAGTGGCTAATATCCTGAAAGCAGCTTTCCTCTTGGATTGTGGAGCTTGGCAACACAAGAAGCCACTAAAATGCACCTTCCTGCCCCAAACATACATTAAGACTTTTTCATACTTACTGTAGATGACATCCGGGTACTCGAGGTCTTTAAACTTCATCTTCTCCCTTTGACCCAGCCAGCTGAATTTCACCGCCACCTTCTGGGTCATCAACTGTTCTAGCACCCCACGAGTGTTGTTGCCCACCGACGAACCTCCAACTGCTGCCAGCTGATTGACCTGCATTGCAGTCAATGAGGTCAATTAAAGCCTGCAATTTTAACAAAAACAAACAATAATGCCATAACACTCATAAGGCTTTCCTTTGTAGCTTTGCATGTCTTCAATTTTTTGTCAAACACCAGAAAGTCATCCACGTTGTCAAAAGGTTCTTCAAGTATTTCGTCGTTGGGTACGTTCATTGCTCCACTGCTGTTTAGGATTCCCATAATGGTATCCAGCTGCATAGAATGCTGTTCCACCCGGAGCCGGATTGTGTGCAAAATACGAATTACTTGCTTGTCAAGACCTAGAAAGGGAGCACATTAAATTCCCTGTAGCTACACCAAAACATCCTGACTGCAAATTTACTACATGAACATATCCTCACCAGTAAAAGCTTCTTCATTCCTCTTGTGCCCCATTGCCCGATGCATCATGGTGCTTCCTTGACTTTCTGAATGTGAGAAAAGGGACAAATGTGGGACAAAATCATCATATCTAGGGTTCAGCATTTTAGGTTCACACCACTACAAGTAATCAAGAGAGGAAGCGGATTAAATATTCTGTACCTACACCAAAACTTGTCTCCAGATTTACTACATAGATGTATACTCACCATTAGAAGCTTCTTCATTCCTCTTGTGCCCCATCGGCCCATGCATCATAGTGCTTCCTTGACTTTCTGAATGTGAGAAAAAGGATAAGTCGGTGAGAAATTCGTTATATTTAGGGTTCAGCATTTTCAGCTCGCACCGATACAAGTATGCCGATTCCATTTTCAAATATGTGGTTTCAAAACGTTGCGTTTTAGACCAGAACTGTGCGCCAAAGTAGGGGATGGACTTGTCATTGAGCGCAACCCAGTATTCAGATATCTACGTGACCGCTAAGTGTCCTGTTGGCTGAGCGTTCACGGGTCAACACAGCCATTAGGGATCGGGTATGGACAGTTTTCATTCTGTCAAGCCGTTAGCTTTTATTTAATTTCTGGTCAAAGCAATACATTTTTTTTTTGCAATTTTCATTGCTTGTGCTACTAACCCAATTTGACAGTCCTAAATATAGGAGGCAAGAAAAAGTGGTCCAAGAATTATGATTCAGAATTTCGTGATTCAAAGTGTGTCCTCCAAACGAAAGTGGTAGCCAAGGCTATGTAAGTCTTGTCTGCATGTGACGCCACATGACGATTAATTCAGATAACGGCAGGGCCTCAATGCGCCTAGAAGAGCACGCCAAGTCTGCACGGCACATGAAAGTGGAAGCATTACACACTAAATAATTTAAGTGAAATTAAAAAGACAGCAAAAGCTCAAAAATATCAACCTAACTATATTTTGGACAAACATGATTGAAAAGAGCACGTTTTGTCAATACATATTAACCGAAAAATATGAGTAAACTTTCATTAAAACCAACTTTCATTTAAAAAAAATACACAGAAAATTAAGTATAACCATGAAGACCAATGTAAGAACTAAATAATTTGCAGTCTGTGACAAATGTTCAACAAGTGCCATGATACCAATTTGTTGCTTACCACATCTATCGCAAAAAGTATGATGGCATAACATAAGACTATTCCGAAACTGCAGGCTGCTCGTATTACAATTACTGTATTTTACCAGACAACTCAAAGATGAAAGTTAGCAGGAAACTCACGAGAGGCTGTCTGGTGGGCTGCTTTGCTAGCCGGATGGCAAAGTGCACTGTTGCGTTTCCGCTTTTCCGTATGTTTCCCCCACGTCTTTTCAGCACCTGAAAATTCACAAGCAGTTGTGTAATTAGGTAATGCCAAAGCACTTGAAAACCAAAACTCAAAAATATTTACATTCCTATTTACATTCCAGGAATTATTTTTGTGCTGACCAGGGAAAGAGTGATACCTCAGAAATGCTAAAATGTTATTTGGAAACCCTACAAATCTTAAAAATTACACAAGTAGCAATCTGGCACATGGTATTATTGTAACATTTTCAGAAAAAGAAATAAGCTTATGATTCCATATACCTCTTTTCTCCCTTCCACGTGGTGGTGTAGGAGGTTCTGAAGAGTCTGTATCTTGTTTCTGTGTTCCATGCTGTGCTTCAGGCTCATCAGAGTCAGACGAACTCAGTTGTCGAGTTATTTTCTTTCGCTTTCCCCTGCCAAGGTCATTCTCGCTCTGGAGATCCGATGTGCACTCAGCGATCCGCAGTTTCTGTTGAGCTTTCTCATAAGTGGCTGGAAAAGTGAACAGGAACTCAGAGGGGGCAAAAAAGCAATCAAATATTACCCTTGGAACATGCTCTTTAACAAACATAATGCTCCTAAAATTTTCTCCATGGCATGCCATAGTAGCTCAAGTCAGATATAAGTGTAATGTAGAACCATGCTAATCCTTACGGTATCCATCCATCTCGACACACTTGAATTTCTTCCATGACGACATCGGAGTTGCTCCCTTTTTAATTAGTTCTCGCAGCCTCCTGCTCTCTTTCTCTGGGGGCCACAGGCAGCTGTTGCCGTGCACCCACTTGGTATGAACCACTGCCACTTCGTCGTCTTGTTCAGGGAACCTCACAACTAGGAAATCACCTCGTTCTACACAAATGGAAGATAAAAGAACATTGTTACACGATGCGCAAGACGCACCCAAGAAAAATTGTACTTAGAAATCCCTTGTAACTTGAAGCTAAAAAAATAACTCTAGTTGTCTACACTGGACTGCTCTAAAGTCAACCACTTGAAATTTACATCATGGTGTGCACAAGTGGAAAAACAACATGGTGCCCCTTGAATGGAAGCTTGACACACTTGTGTTGCACAGTGGCCAGCGGCCAGCAATTCAACTTGGAAGCCTGGTCCAGCAAACAGATACCAAGTACAGAGGAGCTCCATGGTGATGTGTAGAAGTCCCTGCACCTCAGAAACTTGCGGCCAATGATACATGGCTCTCCTGATAGTGAGAAGTGAGCAATATTCTCAATAGTTACAATACTACCATCACTAAGAACACAGCAGCTGTCCCTCTTGCCCCTCTTGAGCATGAACTTCGGAGTTGTGACTTTGCGAAACTGGGGCTCACGACACTGGGACAACAGTGGGCCCTTTTTGTGGTTCATATGGAGCAAAACCTCGTTACTGGCAGCAGCTTGGCTGGAAGGTACTCTCCTCTTTTCACAAATGCGGTTGTGCACCTGCTCAAGAGGGAGGTCAGGTTTTCGGAGAAGTTTCTTCAGCGAGGACATATGGTTCTCGAAAGGAAAAGCGCTCCATGCATCCAGGGGCCCAAGTGAGCGAACATCGTCAGCCAAATGTACCAAACCATGTACATTATGTGAGACATTTTCAGCTCCGTAGAGCTTTACGAAGGTTTTGACAAAATAACGCAAGAGCTTCTCGGCATAATCAATGTCGCTTGAGTCGCTAGCGGGGCTTGCCAAAACAGTTAAGGCAATGTGGAGGGCAAGAAAGTTCTCATACATCTTGTCTGATAGACTTGAGGAGAGGACGACTGGACCGCCATACAACAAAAAGAACCTGAACTCTGTAGCCTTCCAGCGATCAAGATCTGACAGGCTTCGTGGTTTTCGATTGAAATCAGATGGAACATAGCGTGCCAGTGCAATATTCATAGCCGACACTGTATCTCGCACCTGGCTTCCCAGTCTGGTCGGTCGAGGCCCTCGAAACCACATCACAAGGAGCTTGTGCACGACCCCAAGACAGACTAAGCGCATATATTCGAGTGGTACCTGTTTGACAACGTCAACCGGTAGCTCGAGCAAAATACTCGGCCCAGTGTCAAGATGGTGCTCTTCTTGAGACATGCTTCGGAAATCGGCATCTGTTCTCAGGCTCGCGGTCAGATCCGGAAAGCACACCCTGCCATTGATGTAGGTGCCCCGAACAGTGCACTTTGTGCAGCTATAGTAGCCAGTATGGCCTTTGATGCACAGTATGAATGATTTTGCTGGGGCATCGCAAATGAAGGCCCCAACACGAAGAGCAATTTTTGTGCCATTGATACAAACTCCTTCTTGCAGAAGTTCACTCAGCTCTTGCACAAAGTCGTGCAGAAAATCGTTTGCATCTGGAGGCTTGCTTTGACCGTAGAACAGACCCACAATGAATGGTGCGACGTTCTGAACGTTCCGGACTTCGCAAAGAATCGGCCAGGACTGGTTTCTCGAACTTTTTCCAAGTGGCAGGCCGTCCACGTTGAAGTTCAAGATGAGGTGTTCAGGAAGCCGGGAAATGCCACGCATAAGTTCCTCCAGGCCAGCAGCCAAGCCAAAGGGACAGTATTTCCCGGAGCCCATGTTTCTGATTCCTGGACTTTTTCTATGTGTTTCCAGTAGGGCTCGTGCAGAACTCGGAAGTGCCGAAAAACACGAGTGACCGCGGAGAACTGCTAAAAGGGCGGTGACAACTGTGTGCGGAACAAAATTATTAATTGCCCACTCCTGGAGTTGCCTCCTGAAGCCCCTCAAGCGGTCCTCTGGGTTTTCACCATCGTTGGCGGGTTTTACGAGCAAGCGCTGCAGGCTTTCCAAAGCATGGGACTCGGCGGTGCTGGCGCCATTTCGCCGGGAGGGCTGGCCCGGCTCGCACACACCGGCGTCGCGATGCTCGTCCACAGCACTTTCTTCACCAGCCCCATTGACGTGTAGATCGCCCTCTCGGTCGTCACCGAACTCCCCAACACCAGCCAGCAAAGAAATGGTTTCGCCGACACTTCGATTTAGCTGACGGCGAAAGCGCCGTGCTGCAGCTGCGTTTTCCGACATGTTACTGTTGATTTCTGACATTTAGCGGTAGTCCGAAACTTGAGCTTTACTCGCACAATCAATCTGAGACACGAAAATAACAATATTAAGATCTGCTTACCTTCCTCAGAGTGTCCGTTCATTCCTCCGTCAATTTCCAGCATTTCCAGAGCATAAGCCATTTCCCTTTTCTCGCGCCAACGTGCTCCGCACTCTTTGTTCGTACAAAATTGATAATGGCGTCATACACAGTTCAGCCGCTTTTACAGCGCATAACTAGAGTATGTGTTAAACTGCAATATCAAATATACCTTAACCATTTATAACAAATAATAAGTATTTTTGTTTCAGATCAATGTTTTTTTATTGAAATGCTTAAACGAAGTTAATTTACATCAACTACAAGTTTCGTACTCAGCGTGGTTTCGTTTTCAACTGCCGGCACGACACCCTTGCTGCGCAAAACTACTGCGTCTTATGGTTAGTCCTAAATAAGGCGATTCGAAGACGTCGTAAAGACGTCTTCGACGGGACGAATATTTCCCCGACTAGTTCAATACGTCCCCAGGACGTCTTCGACGGGACGAATATTTCTCGACTAGTTCAGTACGTCCCCAGGACGTCTCTGTCAGGATGAAGACGAGTCGACCAGTTGAGGACGTCCTCAGGAGTATGTGTGTTGTCTGGGGGGATACAATTCGATGTTGCAACACACCATCGCAATACAACAAGAAATGATCGGTGTTGGGACACGACCACCACATCGAATACGATATCAATACGAAGTTACCGACGGTTAGAAATACAACATCATGACACGATATACTAGTTACCGGTGTTGGGACCGAAATCCAACGCTATACGTGACAATGTCGGTTCGCACGATAAAATAATGAGGGTGAATAGGTTTGACAGGTCACGTGCATTTAGTTGCTTCTTACGCGCACATTTATCGATATTGACCCACCTTTCTGGGTAATCCTACGTGGTACACAAAATCCACGACGACATGCGAGCACATTTCACCCACCAATTTTCGTCGCCTGTTTCGCGAGATTCACACACTGTCCAAAAAACGACGTGAAAAATACGTGCACTTGCGCCATCAAACGATACGTTACAGCCTCGTTTCTCGAGAAAACAGTTTCCATCGCCAACACGCGCGCGCAAGCAGTTTGGACCACAGTTTATCATACACAGTTTGCCCACTGTAGATTAAGCCTGTGGTAATCGCAAACCACGTGATCGAGGGCCTTGTGCGAATAAAAGTACATTTTAGAACTAAACTCATTACATATTACTCACACAATATAAATTATATTGATAACCTAATAATTAAAAAAGAGCGGAAGTTCCTCAAACAATTATTTAAACTCGTAAAAGCGCCCTCTCACCACGGATGGGGTAACTAACCACATTTTATGCTTCGTTTTTGTTGTTTTGGTTTTCAAGATGGCGGCTCCCATGGCATTTTGTGTACCCGGTTCTCGCGTCCGCTTGCGTTGCGCTTTCGCTTTATTGTGACGTGAGCACCACTGGACGACAATCACAGGTAATTTATTCACACAAGAGTTATTTCAAGCAGGCAAATGTTTATTTTCGCTCTACATAGTACAATTTATAAGAAAATGTTACAAACAGCACATGCAATGATGCGGTTGCTGACGGGTATTATCGAACATACACGGTAGTACAAACAAGTTGAATGTTAGCCTTCAAGCTATGTGCATAAAACACGATAAACGTAGGACAAACAAACACAGTCTAAAAAGGTAGAGGTAAAGTCGCGGTAAAGGTATTTCAAAACAGCCATTCATAAACCATGCAAAAAAAAAAAACTGCACAGACGCGACAGTTTTACATAACGAGTGCGATTACAAACCAGTTGCTTTAACAGTAACTGCAGGCTAATGTGGTAAATAAAGCTGTGCTTGGAAGTGCATTTGACCTGCCCGTCCTTTCCCCCGAAGATGAATGTTCAACACACCTGGGGAATATGTTCGACAACAAATGTTTCGTTTCTCCTAAAAAGAAATGGAAGTGAAGATATTGCGCCTGATTGGTTAGAGGCTCAAATTATGAAAGTTCCCTCTTTCGTCATTTGAGCCTCTGACCAATCAGACGCGATATCGTCACTTCCATCACTTCCCTTACTTCTTAGGAGAAACAAGACATATGTCGAACATTGCCGCCTTGGTCAGTTTTCTATGAGATATGTTGGATTTAGCCAGTCAATTTCTTCAGCACAATGTTTAGCTGTTAGGTTCAATGACAGCGCGCCTTTACAACTTTCCGTCACCTGATCTGCCTAACGGTGCTACTGGCCCTCCAACAAAAATGTCACCTATCGTCGACAAACAGTAAGCACCTAGAATGCCACTTTCTGACTGCAGCGTCACCATTGAACATTGTCGTCCATGAAGCAACCTCCTGGCTGAGCATTCTTCACTTATCGCCCTCGCCAACAACCTCACCTAATCTCGTTATTGCTGATCACTGGTGAAGCACACCCGCCGGCAATATGAAAGTGAACACCTTACCTGGATTCTTGCCCATTTCACGGCTCTCTAAAGCTATATTAACTCTCAACGTCTCAAATAGTATGTGGCTTGGGGTCTAAACTTTGCGTTCTAGCCCTCTGCTGGAACAGAGCTTGTTCCAAAACTTGCAGGAGCGTTAAAAACAAGAAGAGGGCTGTTCACCTTCATATCGCTCACGGGTGTACCTTCAAACTCCGGCTCACGTCCCACCTGCCCCTGCTGTTTCCTGTCTGTCGACAATGCCGCCACTCTCCAATGCGACGTTTATGATTTGTGGTTCCACCAGAAATGTGAAGACGTATCTCTCGCTTTGTATAGACGCCTCTCCTCATTATCAACCGAGTGGCTCTGTGCGGCGTGCCAGCTCGCACCCCTGGCTGATGACCTCTTTCCATCCCCTAAGCAGCACGGAGCCCCTGTGTACCCCACCATCATCGCCAACTCTACCAAGTAGTTCTCCGACCCGCCTCCGGCGCGCGACATCGGCAGCGTTCACCGTTCGCATGACAACTCCGCGTTTGGCATAGTTGTCGTGTGAAAAGTGCGCGATCGGAGTCTACAGACTCCAATCCCGTTTGGTTTTCCAACGTTTGCTTCCTAAAAAACAAACTTCCTGACTTTAAAGCGCTGAGGTAATCTTTCCCGAATACAATATTCGCTGTGTGCGAGACATGGCTGGACGCCTGTCTTCGGTGGGTAATTAATGGGGAATTAATCAATCTCGCACAATTCTCTTTATTCCAGCAAGACTGTCCCTCCTTGAGGCGAAGGAGTCCGTCCTCGCTATGCCATAACACCTGCCCTGCCAACGTTTTGACCACCTCACCCCTCCGGGTCTAGAAGCCATCTTTGTCGAGGTATTTTGTAAACATGGAAAGCTTCTTCTGGTGTCTACCTACTGCCCGCCCACCCTCCCTCCGTGAACAATCGTACGCCCTCCTCGAAAAGAGCCTACAGCGCGTCGACCCCAGCAAGTTCTCTGCACTGTTCATCTGATCCACTTGATGACATGCTGTTAGACGTATTGGAAACTGCTGGCCTCACCCAACTTCATGACGCCTCATTCTACATTTCTCAAAACAGCTACGCTACATTCCTCGACCTCATCCGCACCAATAATCCCACCTTATCCTACCGCTGCACAGTGAAATCCAGCCTACCAGGCAGTGATCGCAGTGCTCTCCTCACCAATATTCATTGCCCTAAGCGAGGTCATCAAGCCAAGAAATTCCAGCAGTTCTAAAACACCGATTTCCCTCATCTCAATTAGGTCATCCACCTCGCTCCCTGGTTCATCGTGTTTGATCACCCATCGGCTGACGAGGCCGACAACCTCTCACTCAACATATCAGCAATTCAGCACAAAAGTGTTCACCCTAAAGGCCCGTTCACAGTCTTGCGACCTCTTAAACCTGGGTTCCTTAAAACTTCTTAAACCAGAAAACACACTGGCGCCATCTATTGGAAAGTAATGTAAACTCGGCGGTCCGGTATATTTTTTTTTTATTTCTCGCGCATTATCCTTTCTTTCTTGGCTCGGAAAACTTTTGTCAATGTTATAAACGTGCCTTTCTATGGGTATTACGCACATTTGACTTCGGAAATCCCGCAAAACCTTCGTTCTTGTGAAATGCAGTTCCAGGGTCACCGCATAGATGGCGCCACAGTGCCAGTGTGTTCCCTCATTCTAAAAACATTTAAGAAGTTTTAAGAGATCTCGTCTCTCTCAGTCATACTTGGTCGCAAGAATGTGAACAGGCCTTAAGGATCAACAGGAGGCTTGTTGATCGGTACGTGCCCACCAGGCACGTACCGAAGTCAAGCATCTCATCAATATCTCCCATAACGATTACCTACCAACTAAGAGCAAAAGCAACCTGCCAGCCCAAACTCTTGGGCATGTTTTCACTATAAAAAAAAATGTTCCACGCTCCGGTCTTCACACATCACGGCAGGCCCTATTCTAATCTTGACGACATAGCAGAGCTCTTCTTTTACCACTTTTCTCAGGCTGTAGCATTACTTGACCCTACCGCACCTAACCTTTGTCCCACCCAACCCACAACTCAGCCAATCAAGGCCACACCACCAATCACACTCTCTTCCATAGTCATTCTTCAAAGTGAAACCTACGAAGCCCTCGCCTGTGTCAACTCCTCTCAACGCCCTGGACCAGACAGCTTCCACCCTGCATTGCATAAATCCTGTGCTGGCCGTATCTCCCCCGTCCTCACTCGCCTCTTCAACGATTTTCTCTCCCACAGCTCTGTTCCTAAATCCTGGAAAGTTGAGTCAGTAACGCCTCTCAAAAAGGGACACGGTGCCCCCTCAAGTCTAACATCCACCTGTGACGGAGTGTATTACCGACTCATTCGGTGCGGTGCGTGCGGGCACGTGTGTGTGTGTGTGTGTGTGTGTGTGTGTGTGTGTGTGTGTGTGTGTGTGTGTGTGTGTGTGTGTGTGTGTGTGTGTGTGTGTGTGTGTGTGTGTGTGTGTGTGTGTGTGTGTGTGTGTGTGTGTGTGTGTGTGTGTGTGTGTGTGTGT